CTATCGGTGAGACACCCCCTGCCCAAATGCTCCGATACTATTCCCGATACGTGGCACCGGCAGTGCCACGAGGGAACATGGAGCCGGCCAATCAGGAAGCCGGCTCCATGCTACTGGAAGTACTGGTGTTGGTACTCGATACCGAAAAACCTTCATCAGAGCTTCCCCGGTGTGAGCGGCATATTGTGTTCTGTTCTTGGCTGATGTGGGGGTACCCGGCAGACACCACCACGTATGAAGGGGCGCACGGCTCCCACAGACATACAGCTCACGTCTTATATTTCCTGTGCAGATTCCACTGCCGTGAGACCCGAAATCATCCTGATCTGTTGAATGGTCCAAACATGATCCAATGAGCAGGAATCCTGGTGACATGATAGCGGAATCCCTTAGTGATGGTGTCACTGAATCGTAAACATTCAAGGCTTCCCCGCCGGGTAGTAATGAACCCCTTCATGTTGGGTGGTTTGGCTCTCCCACGTCTCCATGTGTCGAAGCACAGCTATGACCGCTCACTGGTTCCCTAAGGATGGTGCTCACAAGGCACAGCTTTTGGGGTTTTACCTCCCGCGGGGTCGCTTCATGAGCTGCTAAAGGGGAACTAAAACAGGACCTCCATTTCCATCGCACAAGCTGCTCGTGTCTGACAACGGACCATCAGTCCATCCAGATTGCTTATCATTGTCCCTCTTTGAGGAATTACAGTTCTACCCGTAGTGAGGAGAATCCCCTACACTGTGTGTTTAGTATTCTAAACCGGGCCGGTGCAAGGATTTTTGCCTACGCAGGGGAAAGAGCATTTTTTGGCGCCCCCCCAACAAAGAGACACATTTTTATTTATCTGATTCTCTTTCACTTTTTTATTTGTTATAATTTTTATTCTAATTATTTGTTAATTTCTTTATTTTTTTTAATCTTACTATCTTTTACTTTTTATCATTTTCATTATTTTTTTTAGTTATTTGTTCATAAATGTTTTTTTTTATTTATTTTTTTATTTCATTTTTATTTTTTTTTACTTAACTTTATTGCTATCACACAAGAGCTAGCTAACAAGCCCCCTGTGTGATAGCATTTGGAGGTGACAGGTTGCGAGTGCAGCTCTCCT